GGGGAGGGACCAGGGAGGCACAACAGGTGGAGGCAGTCAGCTTTCTCTGAGGGTGTGAACCATGGTAGGTGGACCACACTCCTGTGGAAGAACACCCATCCCAGATTTGGAGGACACAAACGGGACTTGGTGACTTTAAAAAGAGAGAGAGCATGGAGGTGGGTGCACAGGGAGGTGGGAGGTGGATCTGGGAGAAGCGGGGTGGTGGTGGTGGTGGTGAATATGATCAAATAAATTCTGTGAAATTCTCAAAGATTTCATAAAAATATTACTTTAAAAAGAAGAAGAGAAAAGGAGAAGAGGAGCAGGTTGGATGGACGAGCAGATGAAGATTCCTGGCACACAAGTCTCACAGCCTGAGTTCGATCCCCAGAGCCCAGGTACAGGTGGAAGAGGAGAACTGACCCCACTAGATACCCTTGGATCTCCACATCTGTGTGGTGGTGTGTGCTACACATACACTGACCACCAATAAAAAGTGCTGGGGTCGGAGAGATGGCTCAGTGCTTAGGAATGTAGTGTGCTGCTCTTCCTCAAGACCTGAGTTTGGTTCCCAGCACCACATTGGGAGGCTCAGAACCACCTGTGATTCTAGCTCCAGAGGATCTGGCTTCCCCTCTGACCTCAGTGGGAAGCTGCATTCATGTGTGCTCCCACATCCATGTAATTAAAAATAAAGTAAAATAATAACAAAGGAGAAAATGAACCTGTTTCTGGCATTAGTGAGGCACAATTTTAAGTGTGTCTCTAAGGAAGTTTCCAGAGAAGGGGGAAAGGTCCTCCCTAAATGTGGGTGACACCATGGCATGATCTCAGATGGGCACACATGAAAATAAACAATGAAACAAATCTAGTTTAAGTAAGTAAATTTTTGTGTGCTTCTCTTGCTGTATATAATATTACCATCTGGAAACTTTATAAAATGTAGAAGTGTATTTAACTCATGATGATATAGGCTGGGAAGTCCAAGGGTGGAATCTGGTCCCTGGTGAGGGTCTTGTATCTCATCCCCTCTGAGAACACCACACTGAGAGACAGATCAGCTCTGGTAGCTCAGGTCCCTTCCTCTTCTCACAAAGACATTAAAGCCATCATGGGGTCCCATCTTTATGAACTTTCCTGATTCCTATTTACCTCTAAACCTCCAAAACCCACTTCTGGCTGAACCTGGGGATGAAATTTCTAACATGTGGACTTGTAGGGGAGACATCCACATCACAGAGGCTTCTGTCTGTCAGGATTCTGTCAGGAAAGAACCCAGTGAGACAAGGTGGCAGCAGCAGTGTCCCCAAGGGGTGACAAGGTGCCGACAGTGTAGAGAAATGAGGCCAGGCAGCCCATTCACTGAAGCAGAAATTACTGTGGGTCGGTTGT